TGTGTGTGTGTGTGTGTGTGTGTTAAAGTGTGTGTGAGCATGCATACTCTCTCTCTCTCTGCTGTTAATTGCCTCGTTCGCCCCTCTCTCTCTCTGCAGATGTCTCGCTCCTTAATTTGCGTAGAGAGCAACAATCAGCCCCATCTGTCCCAGTTTTTACTTTCCTCCTCCCCCCTAAAAATCACCTCTGTGCCCCCCCCACACACACTAAATCTCCTTACTAAGCCCACCACACACACACACACACACACACACACACACACACACACACACACACACCTCCCATACAGAACCGTGTCAGTGGCGTGGGGATTGAAAGCCAATCAAAAAGCTATAGAGGAGTGCTTTGGTGTGCAGGGACACAATCGGGGGCCGGTGGGGGCCCGGTGGGGGCTGGTGGGGGCCGGGTGGGGGCCGGGTGAGGCTCTGAGGTGTCCCCCCCTCCCTCCTCTCGGCTCAGTGTTTGTGGCTGCAGGCTCCTGTCAGAGCTGTGAAAGAGGCTCAGGCAGCAACAGGGACAGATGGGAGGACTTAGAGGGAGGAATAATCACAGCGTGGTCCTCCTCTGTCTGTCCGTCCGTCCGTCCGTCCTGCGGTCCGTCCACCCTGACAGGACGGACCGCCGGACTCTGATTCATGATGATCAGAAGTTGTTGTGCAGACCTCAGCAGCTGTGGAAAGAGGAGTGAAAGTTTCTCTGAATCTTTTCTCTCCTCTTGACTTCGTTTCACTCGTTTAGTTTCTCTCTCTCTCTCTCTCTCTTTCCTCCTGAGTTTCCTGGACTCTCGCTCTCTCTCTCTTCATTCTTTTATTTTGATGCTCACTCTGTCAGATTAAATGATCACAGACAGAAACAGCAGACGTGACCGACGACACGGTGAAGTTTGCCTCATAACTCATCTGCTAGGGTTGGGCGGTTTCCTAATTCTGACACCGTCATACCGTCTCCACATTTGACCGCGGTCTACGGTTTTACTGTGATTAATGAGAACGATTAATTAATGAGAACGATGACTGAAGGGTCATTCCACGTCAATTCAACCAAGAATCTCCACTCACGTCACAGATTTTGATGAAATTTGGTGGAGTGATTGGCCTTTAGGAGAAACTGTCAGAGCTCAAACATTTTTGTTCAAAGCCGTCTAATTAGTGAGATAGGGGCTAACGAATTTTTGGCTAATTAGCATGACATGCGCTACAAAAGTGTTCATATCTCTGGTCCAATTTTCCTAAATTGGACCAGAAAAAAAAATTATAAAAGACCAAAACCTTAAATTGGAAATAGCAAAAAACATGCGTCCTTCAATTTTCTTCATATTCACACTAAAGAAAGACGATCATGTCCACTAGCATCCCTGCAAGTTTCAGGATGGGCATTCCATCACTTTTTGAGTAATCAGTCAAAACGTGTGGTTCGTTAGGTGGAAAATCGCCATATTTGACACATTATACAGTCCTGACCTCATCTGGAGTCAGCCCCACTTGCCTGCCTGTGTAAAATATTACTTCCTCATAGTGCAAAATGCTTTTTTTGAGTGTTTTCATTTGTATGTTATCCCATATTGATATGAAAAATGGCTAGAATAGCTTATTTGTGCTCAGTTTTCCATCACATTTCATTTCTGTTTGCACCTACATCCAGAATATGATCTTAGCTTCATGGGAGAATCATTTGGACATACCTGCATGTCCTGGATCCTTAAGTTATTTGTCAACCCTAGGATCCAGGACATGCAGGTATGTCCCAATGATTTTTGTGTCATTATCTTTTGATTAAAAATGGCCAATTCTGATGAAGAAGAAATGTCACCTGTGGGAGACATGAACGGAGCAGCTGCACATTTCCAGCATGGTTAGCAGAGGATGGTTTCGATCCATCGACCTCTGGGTTTTAGGCCCAGCACGCTTCCACTGCGCCACTCTGCTATTTTATTTTTTTTTATTTTTTTTCAAGGTTTTTAGTCTTGTGTTGGGAGAAACCGAAGCACTCGGAGTAAACCCATTCGCTGGTGGCCATGTATGGGCCTGAAGTCTGTCCTCATATCCATCTAGGACTTCATGCGCGACAAGCTGCAGTTAGGCGGGAAGCCCAGGGGGTCCAAGCTGAAGTGAAAGTCCGGAGAAGACATCTGAAGAACTTTTGGATGGAGCTGGGTCTTTCTGATGAAAAATGCTTCATTAGAGCCTCAGCCACAGCCTCAAGGAGTGGTTGATCCTCTTCCAAGAGATTTAACCAAAGAACTGAAGCATCAACATTTTTGAGCACTTCTTTGTACACAGCTTTGCATTTCTTTTTGATGCTTTTCAGGCTCAAATCCACATTGAACAGAAGTACCACTCATCTTTTCATACAGCATGTCTGTCAGTCTGGCTTCAGCTGATTTGTAGGTCTGATCGGGGAAGAAATTCTTCATGACTTTGCGTAAGAACATCTCCACAATGATTTGGCAAATCAGTGGGTCCCACAGAACAGATTCAGTGTTTTGACCAGATGGTTTTGCCACCTGAGCCTGTTCTACTTGCTCCTCAGCTGTGTAGACCTCTTCCTTCTCCTCCTCATCTGAGCAGGCCTCTTCCTTCTCCTCCTCAGCTGTGTAGAACTCTTCTTCCTCCTCCTCATCTGAGCAGGCCTCTTCTTCCTCCTCCTCATCTGAGCAGGCCTCTTCCTTTTCCTTCTCAGCTGTGAAGCTTTGAACCTCCTCTCGCACAGGTGTGGGGCAGGTCTGATCCTCAGCTCCAGTTTTGGGGGGACTGAGATCTGACTGGTTATTCTGCACAAATCTCCTGAACTTCTTGAGAGTCATGCTCACACAGTCCTTCCTAATCTTGCGCAGTCGGCTCTGCTTCTTTAGCCACTTCCTCGTCTCTTTAAGGATCTTGTCTACTCCAGCACGAATCTCTTCTCGGTGTGTTTTTTCTTGGACTTTTGGTGGTGTCAAGTGACTGGCCAATGTGTCACTCAGCTTTTCAGCAAAACTTTCCAGCTCGTCACCGGAAAAGATGCTGGCTAATTTCTCAAAGGGGCAATCCTCTAATGACCCACGACTTGGTACCTGATTGTTTGTTGTAATGAACTCTGTTAAAAGATCATCCACACTCTTAATCAGCTGTGAATTGACTAATTTCACAGCTTCCTGTTCTTTACGGGAGGCCGGCTTGCGTCTGAATTTAGACATCATGCTCAGGATTGACCCTCGAGCAAATGTTTGGACAAAGACAGTCCTCATCTGCCTGATGACTTTTCTCCTGCGGTATCCTAAGAGATCTTCTGTGTGACATCCAGCCAGGTCCTGTGGAACATCCTCTGTAAAATTTTCAACAATCTGAGATGATAACTCTGATAACTCGTAGTCCTTGCTGGTTTGAGAAAGAAGCAGGCTATCTTCTTCCTCTGTGGAGTAACTCTGAGCATCATGAACAATCTCTTCCAGTTGTTGCTCCAGGATTTCTTTGGTCACATGAAAAATAGTCGGGGATTTGTTGAGCGTAGACTCGGCCCTGCCTGGTTTCTCTTCTTGCAGAGAAGTTACAGAGGTCTGAGTGGGTACCACCACCTCTTCCTTCTCCTGCACAGTGCAGGTTGATTTGACTCGGTGCAACATTGTCTTCATCCTTTCGTAGCAGTTTTTGAGAATCCTCTTGAAGTGTCCCCTCAGTTTGATTAGAATAGTGGGGGAAGTCTTGTGCTCCTCCGAGTCGTCACTGTCACTTGTTTTAGACAGCCTGGAGTTGACTCTCTCTGTGACTGCTGTGACCATGAGCTCTGTCACCCGCCCGCTCTTAGGGTAGTGGATGTCTCCTACACCCTGTACCTCTGCCACAGTCTGTGCGATGACTTCACCCATGTTCCCTAAACATTCGCGCACGTCCTCCTTACACACAGATTTAGCAGATCCTGGTGACCAGTCTTTCTGTTTTTCAAGTCTTCTGTTGAGAGACTCATGCAGACTTTGAGCCAAAATTTCAATAACATTTACACACAAAGCTGTCACGCGAGTACTTGTCTCTGGGTCAAGACGCCCAGTCTCCAGTCTCTGCCAGTTTTCTGCCGTCAGCTGGTTCATGAACGCAC